TCAATTTTTATAACAAATTAATTACACAAAAAAAAAAATTTTTTTATTATTATAAAATTATAAAAAAATTTCTAATGTCAATTTTTCTTAATTTTTATAATAAATTAATTACAAATTAATTTTTATAAAAAATTAATTACAATAATAACAAATTTTTTTTTTATTTTTATAAAATAATAATAAGATTTCTAATGTCAATTTTTAAAAATTTTCACACCAAATTAATTCCAAAAAATTTTTTACCACAAATTAATTACACTAAAAAAAAAAAATTTTTTTTTTTTCAATTTTTTATCAATTTTTATAACAAAATTAATTACACAAAAAAAAAATTTTTTTATTATTATAAAATTATAAAAAAATTTCTAATGTCAATTTTTCTTAATTTTTATAATAAATTAATTACAAATTAATTTTTATAAAAAATTAATTACAATAATAACAAATTTTTTTTTTATTTTTATAAAATAATAATAAGATTTCTAATGTCAATTTTTAAAAATTTTCACACCAAATTAATTCCAAAAAATTTTTTACCACAAATTAATTACACTAAAAAAAAAAAATTTTTTTTTTTTCAATTTTTATAACAAATTAATTACAATAAAAAAAAAATTTTTTTTCTATTTTTATAAAATTAAAATTTAAAAATACCACGTGGAGATGATCTATATATACTCTTAAATCCCAAGAAAATAACCATTATGTCTATATCAATAATAAAAAAAAATGAATATTAAAATAAAATTCCTTTAAGTAAATTAATTCCATCAAAAACTTGATAATTAATTAATAAAATCCTCGTAATAGCAAAAGTTTATATGAATATGGTGGCAGCAATTGCTAAGGTGCAAGAATAGTAGTATGGTCTAGCAAAACGTGATGATCATAACAGTGCAGGGGGCGCGAAAAACCCGTTAGTAGAGCGGCACTCGTACTCTTGATAGTTGGCGATGGTAGAGCTGGAGATCGGGTATGTATGATGAGGAGGTGGGTAAATAAAATGTTCTCCTCGGTACTCCTTGGTACTTGGGGAGACCAGGGGGGGTGGAGTAGGGTAAGGGGAGAATGCACACCAAGCGCACGAGCGAGACCCAAACGTTACGCGCAGGGGACTCTCACTTTCACGCGGTGAACTGCGGGTGAATGTCCGGGAATTGGGTCAGAAGGCCCCCACCCTGCCCGGTGCCAACGGCAATGTGCTGAGGCTCCTATCCTCTGTGCTAGAGTAAACCAGTCGACTGACAAGCCTCGATACAAACGGTTGCTTCTTCAAGCTAAGATTCTTTACTCCAATTTAATATCAATTGCTCCTCAATTATCTGGATAATAAAATCATTTTTCGTGAAATCACATCTGGTGACAGTGACTGTGTATCAGTTTTTGTGATTAATTAATTGCAAATTAATTATCAGATTAATTAGAAGATTTCGAAGATTTTTCTTCGCTCGACAACTTTATTTTTTTTTTTTTTTTGTTTGTTATTTTTTATTTTATATTGACACATGGGGTGCTTGTGCGAATGTGATATAGCTCCTAGAGCGGGTAGCGCTTGTTCCTCTGAATCTTCCTCAGACAGTGATAGCCAAACTGACGAATCTTTTATTGGATGTGATTCACAGGGGTTCTTTCGGAGGAGTATTCAACAAAAAATACAATATCGTCCTTGCACCAAAAATCAACAGTGCAGCATTTTGAGAATCAACAGGAATCGCTGTCAATACTGCAGACTTAAGAAGTGCATTGCTGTAGGCATGAGTCGAGATGGTAAGTTTTTTTTTTTTTAATTTACATATATTGAAAAAAAAAATTAAATTGGATTAAAAGAAAAATTCTTGAAGATAGAAAAAAATTTTTAAGAGTTTTATTTGTTTTTAAAAAAGACAAGAAATTTTTTAATTAAATTAAATTTATTTAAAATTATTTATTATAAAATTATTAATTTATCAAAATTAATTCAACTTAATTTTTTTTTCTACTTATAAATAATCAAAATTATTGATAAATAATCTTAAGGATGAATCACGCTCCAATTTTAATTAATCCACGGAAAAAATTTATTTTTTTAGTTTTATTTAAAAATTTTTTATTGATTTAATTAATTTTAAAAATTTTTGTGAATTTAATTAATTTTTAAGATACTAAAATATTTTTTTTTTAAATATTTAGTCGACAAAAAAAATTAATAAAATCTATTTATTAAATTTAATAATTTTTTTTGTGCATATATGCTCCAAAAATTAGCTTCTTATAAATTTAACTTGATAAAAATCAACTTATAAATTATCAAAATGATTGATAAATAATCTAAAGGATGAATCATGCTCCAATTTTATATTAATACACGGAAAAAATCTATTTTTTTAATTTTTATTAAAAAAATTTTTATTGATTTAATCAATTTTAAAAATTTTTGTGAATTTAGTTAATTTTTAAAATAATTTCTAGTTGATAAAAATTGATAATTTATCTATTTATTAAATCTAATAATTTTTTTATATGCTCCAAAAATTAGCTTATAAATTTATCATAGTAAAAAATTTTGCATCATTTCGTCAAAAAATTGTTAACAATTTTATGTGTAAATTTAAGATTTATTTTGTTAAATTAACACAAAAAAGTGCTAAATATTTTATCTAAAATTTTTTACTATAAATTGTTAAATTACAAGACAAAAAAATAATAAAATAAAATGAAATTTTTATTATTACACCATCAAATTTATAAAATAAAATCACTTTCATTAATTATTATAACTTACTAATAATTTCTAAAAGCACAAAAATTTTTAAATAAATTTTTCACCCGCTTTTTTTTAAAATGAATTTTTTAAATTTGCTCCAAAAAATTTTTATAAAAATAACATTTTTCTTTTAACATTAAAAAACCTTCAAAATTATTTTAATCCAATAATTTTTCTCTTTAATTCAATTAAAATTTTTTTTTTACAACAAAATTTTAAAAAAAAACCAAGCAATAAAATTTTTTATCTAAAAATAAATAAAAATAAAATAAATTAAAGGTAAAAGGGCTGAATAATATTACGGATATTATAGAAATTTGGGTTAAGAGGTTATTGACCATTTACGCAATATTCTGAGCGACACGGGCTGTCGTAACTGGCGAAAGTGTCTGTACGAGAAAGTATCTACTCTGTAATGTAATGTAACAGGCGATGTAAACTAAAAAAAGCATACGATAAATAATAAATAAAAATTATCATTAATTGTTACATAAAACCATAAAAAAAATTGTGAAAAATAAACGGGCGACCCGCGAATGACCTGACAAAAAGCAAACAAGCGGTTCAATGACCTCCCCCATTTTTTATATTGATTCAATTAATTGGTAATCATTTAAAATTCTTATCAATATATGTCAGTTGATAAATTATTAATGAATTTAAATTTAAATTCTAAAATAATCTCAAAATATTGAATTTTATCGGGTTGGATAATTAATAATTAAGATCAGTTATCAATCAATTAATCACTAATCTAAAAAAAGAGTCATTATATTGGCAAACAATAAATCGTAATCAACTAATCACTAATCAGCCAAAAGACACGTAAAAGCTCGCGGGGTCAATAGACGGCGTAGCCTGGATAAATACTGACGGCTTGGCGTCAGTAGAAAGAGTACCGCTACGCCGACGCCGAGTTTTCTGTCCTTATCAGCCTCAACTCGTGCAGTATCACTACCACCCCCCCACCCCACCTCCCACCCTATTCCTCCCACTGAGCTCCTACGGAGGTCATTTGGTAGCTGCTCGAATCTTCTGTTCCATACGTATGTCGGTTCGATGTTCGTTGTTCGGTCTGTGCACTGCTCCCACCTCCCACTCTAAACCCGAGCGTACGCCGACACGTGGCGCTACCATGAGAGCGGAGACCTCGCGAACTTTTAGTCTCAATTGCTATGTATGTATCGCTGTACTCACTCTATTGCTGCTTAGCTCCCCACTATGGAGTCTTATCGATATACTTTCCCCCTCCTAAGGATTACTTGCCTCCCCGATGACCCCTTTTCTATAAGCGGCTCGTATCACTGATAGCAAATCCGACGACGCATGCCCGAGTTAACCACTAGGGTTCATCTACGTGACAGCCGGCATACGCCGTAATAAATACCCTCGCTCTTTATTGACAATTAGTTATATTATTTTGTTTGAAAAAATTAGCAATTTTGTGATTGGAAACTTTTTTTTACTTGGAATTTTTTTGGATTGATTATTTTGCGGTTTTTTAGTTTAGAAAAATTTTTTTAACAAGATTTATGAAAAAATTGGATTTTTTTTTTTTTTAATTTTTAAAAATATTTTTGGATAGATTATTTTACGGTTTTTTTATTTAGAAAATTTTTTTTTAACAAGAAAAATTATATAAAAATTAAATTTTTTAAGATAAGAAAGTTGATTTGTTGAAAGCTTTTATTTTTTGTCGAGAAATCAATTTTTTTGGATACAAATTTATGAGAAAATTGAATTTTTTTAAGATAAAAAAGTTAATTTGTATTTTTAAATTAAATTTTTGGTTAAAAAAAAATTTTTTTGGATACAAATTAATAAAAAAAATTGAATTTTTTAAGCTAAGAAAGTTAATTTGTTGAAAATTTTTATTTTTGAATGAACAAAAATTTTTTTGAGTGAACTATTTGCGATTTTTTGTTTAGAAAATTTTTTTAACAAAAAAATTTAAGTAAAAATTTAATTTTTTAAGCTAAGAAAGTTAATTTGTTGAAAATTTTAGTTTTTGAATAGACAACTTGTAAATTTTCATCCAAAATAATTTTTTTTTTCAATTTAGAAAAATTTTTTTCAACAAAAAATTTTTTTTCTCACTATCTAAAAAACTATAGGTAAGAATTTAAATATTTTTCGAAACATTAATTTTCATTTTTGACTATAAAATTTTTTAAAAATTAAAAAAAGCATTTTTATATTTTTTTTAAGCTTCTAATTTACAAAAATAAATGTCAAAAATTCTTACAAATGTATTTTTACTGAGAAAAAAATTTTCTTTTTGAAAAAATTGATCAATTTTGACAATAAATAAATTTGTTCAAAATTTCAAACAATTTCATTTCTTAATTAAAAGAAATAAAAATTTTTCTCCCAATAATTTCCTTAATAATTATTTTATTTATTATAGAATTTTATTTGCATAACTTCACAATTTTATACCTAGAAAAAAAAAATATTCTTAAATCAAGTTTATAATTTTCATGATTTGAGTAAAAAAATTTTTGAACTAATAAAAAATAATTTTCTTAATTCAAGAATTTTTCTCTCAAATCAAGTTAATTTTTTTTTCCAGCGTACAAATTTTTAAATTTCCTTAACAAAAAAATTCTCTAAATTAGAAAAGAAAAACAAAATTAAAACTTGTAAATTGCCTAAAAAAATTACAGTAAGAAAAATTTCTTTAGTAAGTAAATAAAATAATAAAACAATAATAATAATAATACATAATAAAAAAATGTCTAATTTAAAAACAAAAAAAAATAAATAAATTTATCATTTAAACAATTAATAACCACAAAGAATAATTAATAACAATAATAAAAACAAACACTTCAAATGTAATGAAAATGATCACAAATAGGTTCAAGGAAGTATTAAAACACCTCGGAGGGTCGCCGAAGGTCACCCAAAGGGGTGAGCTACCCTAAAAATTAAAGAAAGTCCCAGAATACGGGTGAATAAAAAAAAAAAGGACAGATAGAGAGAATCGTCGGCTTGTTGAACGTTCTATTTGTAATATATAAAGCAGCTGGTTGTTGGTTGCTGGTTGGGCTTAATTTATTATTATTAT